ATTGAAAATTAGAATGATGTAAATTGATGCTATCAGTGTCTCTGATACACATAAAAAATATAGAAAACCTCTTTACAATCTCTTTAACAAGAACCACAGACGTCTGATTGAAAATTAGAATGGTGTAAATTGATGCTATCAGTGTCCCTGATACACATAACAAATTTAGAAAACCTCTTTACAATCTCTTTAACAAGAACCACAGACGTCTGATTGAAAATAAGAATGGTGTAAATTGATGCTATCAGTGTCCCTGATACACATAAAAAATTTAGAAAACATCTTTACAATCTCTTTAACAAGAACCACAGACGTCTGATTGAAAATTAGAATGATGTAAATTGATGCCATCAGTGTCTCTGATACACATAAAAAATTTAGAAAACCTCTTTACAATCTCTTTAACAAGAACCACAGACATCTGATTGAAAATTAGAATGGTGTAAATTGATGATATCAGTGTCCCTGATACACATAAAAAATATAGAAAACCTTTTTACAATCTCTTTAACAAGAACCACAGACATCTGATTGAAAATTAGAATGGTGTAAATTGATGCTATCAGTGTCCCTGATACAGATAAAAAATATAGAAAACCTTTTTACAATCTCTTTAACAAGAACCACAGACATCTGATTGAAAATTAGAATGATGTAAATTGATGCTATCAGTGTCTCTGATACACATAAAATTAAAAAAACAAAAGAAAAGGAGTATATATTTGCGTTTAATAAACTATATTTCAATACTTACTCGTTCATTCTAGAGATGAAATTGGAACCAGCTTCAACAGCAGCTTCCGTTGGTACAAATTCATCGTTAGAATCTGATAACACCATATTTTCAATCTCGTCATCTTCATTAAATGAATAGTCAATTTTCTTAGCTAGAAAAAAAATTAAGTCATGCAGTATGCAAGTGGCAAATTTTTCGATTTTCAATCAGACGTCTATGGTTCTTGTAATTCCACTAAAAGTGTATCATGATGTCACTTTTGCAAAAGTTTTTGCTAATCATATCATATACAGTTAAGCAAATCTAGAAAACAGGAATCACAGACGTCTGATTGAAAATTAGAATGGTGTAAATTGATGCTATCAGTGTCTCTTGATACACATAAAAAATTTAGAAAACCTCTTTAAAATCTCTTTAAGCTGCAGAATCCATCAGACCTAATGAAATTAAAATACAAAATCTGATTCCTACCAGCAGCACGTCTCGGACCTCGTTCTTTCGTATTCTGGGCTATAAAACTTCCTTCTCCGTCATTAAAATTGAGATCTGAATCACTACCACTTGGTCCATCAGAGTCCGTCGCCCATGGATCCTTTTTCTTCCCCTTACTAGGCGACCCTCGTGGTTTCCTTGGTGATTTTGGAGACTTCAGAAGTAGAGCTGAAACGCAGGCCAGTTCCATTTAAATGTTAAGAAATTGTTTGAAACTATAAGACAGTGTTTAAACATTTCTATCAGGTACTTGTGAACAGAATAGCCTTTGGTGCAACATTTGATATCAGGGTTGTTGTATGGTGATACAGGTCGTATCCAGACCCTTGTATTGTAATACATATCATATTGTGACCCTTGTATCGTATCCCTTGTATCGTGACACTTATCTTATCGAGACCCTTGAATCGTGAGTCATGTTGTATCATGGTCCTTTGATCGTGACCATTATATCACAATACATATTTAACCCTGA